ACCGGATATTAAGCCTATGTATGGGGAAATCTGGTAATATGGAGAAGCAAGAAGCAAAACATAGAAGCCAAAAGTAGTGTTGAAGCAGAGTTTAGAGCGGTAGCACAAAAAATATGTGAAGGACTGTGGTTGAAGAAACTTTTAGAAGAGTTGCATGTTACAATAAAGTTCCCAATCGAGCTATAATGCGATAACAAAGTTGCTATCAACATTTCTCTCAACTCAGTTCAACATGACCGAACTAACATGTAGAGTTGGATAAACATTTCATCAAAGAAAAGGTAGAAGATGAGACTATTTGCATGACATATATTTCCACATAGGAACGAACTGCAGATAACTTCACCAAAGGACTACCAAGACAAAAATTCAATGATTTCATTCACAAGTTGGATATGATCAACATTTACTATCTAATTTGAGGGGAAGAGTTGAAATCTCGAGAATATGGAAATATTCTCCCTACCTTAAGTATTTTTGTATATTTTAGTAACTAGTAATTATTATAATTAAGATTGATTGTAGGAGATTCTTTAGCAGTTTTAGATATAATATTTTCTATTTTTAATATCTTTTATACTATCAAAAGTGGTATTACGGTGTAATATCGATCAAGGAAATAACAAAGATTTTAGTATTTAACAATGTTCCTACTGTTTCACCGTCCACAAGACAAAATTTCACTATGTTCAAACGTATAATCATTTTGAAGTTCTTTGCATTCCTGGCATAAAATTATCTCTACTGTGAAATATAAAATATCAGTATGACAGACTTGATTATATTGTTCATAGTTCAGCCCACAATATGTCAGGACCAAATCCATTCGTATGATAATTATTTAAGGAAAATTAATGTTGATCTACTTGATCTAAAAGTTAAACTATTAGATGGAGTCACATGCGTATCATTTAAATATTGTCTTATAATACCTCCTCACGTGTAGGCGAGCTTTCTTTATTCAAAGCTTAAGTTGTTAGAAGAAGCTACTTATATTTCATTTAAATATTGTCTTTGACACTTAAATCACAGATATGTAACATAAGCTTAATGCAACATTAATGCCATAGATGGGACATTTTTCAGTTTCTCATCAAGTTTAGTGTCCATTAAAAAAAATACATAATTGAGATGATACATTCTGTTCTTCTTGATGTGCGGACAAAATTATAGTTTAAAGAAACTGGATTTTTTTTTGCCTTTTGCCTTTGGAATTTTTATTTATTATTTTTTTTTTTTGAGAGATAAATTTCGAAATAATGATGAAGGATGTGTTTATTTTAAGGAAAGTGGACATTTGTTTGTGATTTTTAGAAATGGAAATAAAGACGTGCAATGTTGTAAGGGTTGTATTATTAACCTTACAATGTCAGTAACTTGTAAATATGATAATACATTTTGGAACACAACAACTGAGGTGATCCTACTAAATAACAAATGAAAGCAAAAGGCAGTATGTATGTAACTTTTATGGAATTGAGTGGGTGGCATATGATGCACCTTTCATGAATTGTAAAGCCATTACTTTGGCTCTTGAGAACCTTTTTAGTTAATTTATGCATAGATTTCTTCTCCTCTTTGCCCNCCCTGTTACTTCAATAATTGTCTGTCTAATCAAATTTCATTAATGAGAAGGGGATGCCCCGGGTATGAGGGAATATACAGTGTAGAAGAGACTGCGTATTTCAAGTCAGTCAAGGCTTCTAAGCATGAATTTATGCATGTTGAATTGCAGCTCAAGAAGACAAACAAAAATGCGAATGAACTGCAACATTGAATTCTCTATGCCTTTAAAGGGCCTTCAATTCTGTTCTTTGCAATATACATGGAGGTGCCAGCATCCAAGCATACCTCCACAGCCAATCTGCCCTTAATCTTCTCGCTTTGAGCAGAGCTTCAACTTTGGCTTTACCACCGGAGATCAACAATATAAAATTGTTTGCTCCCTGGCTCAGTAGAAACTGAAAATGAAGAGACTGTTGTCAACAACTTCCCCTTTCTTTTTGCACACATTAAACCAACTTATATATGCATATCTGCTCCTCCAGTTTATAGCTGTCAAACTAGCCTCCCTAACACCAATAGACACAAAGATGGCCCTTCTCAAGCACCTTGCTTCTGACACCATCTTCAATGGGAAAGAATCTCCTTGCTTTTTAAGGGATAGTAGGTAAGATGGGGTAGGAGTGAGTTTTTTAATAAGGAATGAAGAAATGAGAAGTCCAAGGGAGCCTAACCGAGAAAGCAAATAAAGAACTACGTCAGTTCTTATAATGAATTTCATTCTGCTTCATTATTCTTTCCAAAAATTGAGTAGAATAGTATTGTAGGCAGTTATATGCTTTTTAATAATATTTAACTTTTGATAATTTGAGCTTCTCTGGTAATAAAATCATTAAGATTTTTGCAGGTCAAGAGTTCTTAATTTCAACATGTAAAACTTGTGGATCTTTATGAACCTAATCTATGAACCGCTTCCTGGCTAATTGGTCATGAAATCATTTGGCTACACATTTATCTCATGATGCTCCAATTACCTTACTAGCTTTATTTGAAATTTAATTTCCATATTTACACAGGTCATGAAGTAATTTTAGTTTTTTTACTATGTTTACTTTCTTTTAGGTGCGTTGGATTGGATACAGTTCAAAGGATGATACATGGGAGCCAATTGAGAACTTAGGGTATGCTGTAACAGATCTATTCCAAATTTTGTCTCACTCAAAGGATATTTTTCCCACTGATATTTCTTTTATTCTTCTTTAGTAATTGCCAAGAGCGGATACAAGATTTTGTACTTGAGGGAATTAAGGCGAAAATTCTGCCACGTCCGGTAAAATTTGATCTTTTTATGTTATATACTATAGTATATATTATATTTGCTAAAAATTAGTTTTCTGAAATCTAGTTGAGTTGTTTTCACTTAAATAATATCCGGGAAAATTGCCTATGTGTGATATATACCTTTTGAACGATTAGAAAATAAATTAAATATTTAATCAACATAAATAAAACATCAGAGAAATCATAAAAAAATGTGAAAAATTACAAAACTCAAAATATT